CCATTAGAACTCATCTTCACAGACATCTGGAGACAAGCCCCTATCCTATCTACTTCAGGTTTTAAATATTACATATCCTTCCTTGATCACTTCAGTAGTTATACTTGGATTTATCCCTTGAAACAAAAATCTGAGGCCTTAAATGTATTCATTCAATTCAAAAGGCTAGTTGAAAATAAACTGACTAGCAAAATAAAAACCTTACAAGCTAATTGGGGTGGTGAATATAGAACATTTTCGAAGTTTTTAAACCAAGAAGGAATTGAGTTCAGGTACCCATGTCCTTACACCTTAGCTTAAAACGGCATAATAGAAAGAAAGCACAGACATGTGATTCAAACAGGCCTAACTCTATTAGCCCAAGCTAAACTACCCTTAAGGTACCGGTGGGAAGCTTTTCAAACTACCACATACCTTATAAACAGGTTGCCAACACCTACTCTTCAAAGAAAGTCACCCCATCAAATCCTATACAATAAAGAACCTAATTACCAGGCCTTGAAAGTTTTTGGTTGTGCTTACTATCCCTGCCAAAGGCCCTATCAGAATCACAAATTCAGTTTTCATTCCACCAAATGCACATTCATTGGCTATAGTGAATCCCATAAAGGCTACAAGTGCATAAGCTCAACTAGAAGGTTGTATATTTCAAGACATATCACATTCAATGAGCTAGAATTCCCATTTGAGTCTTCAACTTCTACCAAAACTAAATCAGAATCACCAGTGTCAGAAATCGTAGTGTCCTATTTCCAAATTCCATCTAAATCTAACAAAACGATGTCCACATCAAGTCCAGCAGATACTAATCCCTCTAAAGTTGCTCATGCTGAACATCACTTATCCTCTGACTTAAATGACATTCAGCATAACAACTTAACTCATGGGAATGACTTTGGTAACTCTGAAGGTAATGCTGAAACAGAGTCTGCAATGCTTGAACCAAATGTGTCAGAGATAAATGAAGCTCAACTGCAATCAGATGATAATAGAATTGAGAAGTACCTCAACCTAGAACAGGTTATCTGACTGGTCATCCCATGAGTACTAGAGGAAAAGCTGGAATATTCAAACATAAGATCTATCTTGGGAAATTAACTGAAAACCTATCAGAACCTAAGGATGTAACTAAAGCCTTGGTGAATAATGATTGGATGAAAGCTATGGATGAGGAATTCAACACTTTGACAAAGGCTAAAACTTGGAAACTCGTGCCTCATTCACCAGGACAAAACATTATAGGCAAAAAGTGGGTCTTCAAGCTCAAACACAACACAGATGGCTCAGTGCAGAGATTCAAAGCCAGATTTATAGCTAAAGGGTTCCATCAAACACTCGGCATTGATTTCTATGAAATATTTATCCCTGTCATCAAACCATCAACTCTCAGAATAATACTCACTTTGGCAGTCACAAAGGAATGGATAGTTAGATAAGTGGATATCAACAATGTTTTTCTTAATGGAAAGCTTGACAAAACTGTCTTTATGAATCAGCCTGAGGCATTTGTGGATGAATCAAAGCCCAATTAAGGAATGGATAGTTAGATAAGTGGATATCAACAATGTTTTTCTTAATGGAAAGCTAGACAAAACTGTCTTTATGATTCAGCCTGATGCATTTGTTGATGAATCAAAGCCCAATCATGTTTGTAAACTGAATAAGACACTTTATGGATTAAAATAGGCACCTAAAGCTTGGAATGAGAAATTAAAGACAACTTTCTTAAGCTGGAAATCTTAAGACTCTCTTCATACATCTTATCATAATCCTCTTGGATATCTTCCTCACTCTCACAGTTTTCCTCATCAGAATCCTCATCACTATCTAAGTCATTTTCTCTTTCACTTCCCTGGTCAGATTCATTCTTAATTCTAGTAGTAAAGGCAAGATATTTTCCACTTTCCTCCTAAGTAGATTTCTCACTCTGATTGTCCGAGTTAGACTCGTCATCAGTGAGAGTAGCATTCATAGTCTTATCCGAATTTCTCTTACTGCTAGGACATTCACTTTCAACATGACCAAAACCTCGACAATTATGGCATCTCATGGATTTAGATTTTCTCTTAGATTTACTCGGGCCACCTTTGTGTCTCTCTTGAGGGTTATTTTTTTTCCTAAACATTTTTCGAAATTTTTTAGCCAAGTAAGCTAACTCATCATCCGGTGAATCATAATCAGAACATTCGGTTCTGATGTTTCACACGGATTTCATGGCTAGAGATTTATCTTTAACGGGTTTATCTAAGGTGAGCTCATACGTCGGGAGGGATCCAACTAACTACTCTACCTTAATGAAATATATGTCCTTACTTTCTTTAATTGTTGTGATTTTAGGCTTGAAACGCTCAGGTAAGGATCTAAGAATTTTACGCACTATCTTAGGCTAGGGGATTTTATCTCCTAGGTTGAAGCTAGAGTTCACTATGTCGTTTAGGCTCATGTAGAAGGCATCAAATGTCTCATCTTCTCTCATTCTAATCTCCTCAAACATAGTGGCCAACATTTGCAATTTCGAGTTCTTAACAGATTGAGTTCCCTCATGTGTGGTCAGTAAAATATCTCAAACTTCTTTAACAACCTCACACATAGATACTCTCCTAAATTCTTCCAGGGATATCGCCATAAATAAGGCATGTAAGGCTTTGTTATTACAGTTACAGTCATCTAGGTTCATCCTAGTCCAATTGGCAATAGAAATGGAGATCACTATATTGTCTATAGTTGTACTAAGGACACTCCAACCATTCACCACACTCAACCAAATTCGCTCATCCATAGATTTTAGGAAAGCTCTCATTCTAACCTTCCAATAAGTATAATTACTACCATCAAAGTATGGCGGGACGGAAAATGAACTACTCATCTAGATAATTTAAGGCCAGGAATCAAAATTAGGCTCTGATACCAATTGAAAATACGTAGTTTACTAACTAAGTTCGACCTTACGTGCGGAATTATTCTATTAAAAGCAACAAGTCACTTTTTAACAGTTTCTAGATGATTAAGCATGCAATTCAATTATCCTATGTTTGAATACCACAGTTT